CAAAAGAAGCTGAATGAGTCGGTAGTTGCCCTTGGCAGATGCTCTGTGTAGAGGTGTGGATTCCAGTTTGTCCATCGCATTAGGATCTGCACCGTTTTCCAGCAAAATCTGGGCTATCTGTTGAAAAAAAAAAAAAGATAGAAAAACAATGCATTCTAATTATTTTATTTAAAAATATTTCTTATTCAATATGATTGCAAAAATTTTATATTAATATAAAAATAAATGTTCACAATTTTCAGAAAGATTTAATGTATTTTTTTTTTAACTATGAGAGCTGGCAATATATTAATAAAAAAACGAATATAAAAAGTTCCACATTTTCTGGTTAAAAATCTGGTTAAAAAAGAGCTGGCAAAATATTAATAGAAAAAAATGAACAAGAAAATATTCATATATCATATCATGATTTTTAGAAAGATGTAATGTAATCATTGAATATAACTTTTTTTTTTAATGTGTTGGCAATATATTATTATAAAACAAATAGGAAAATATTCATATAAATAGGTTTACAACTTTCAGGAAAAAATATGAAACGAACTACCAGAAAAAAAAAATTCACTTTCATCAAAACTTAGGAGCGTTCACACGTGGGAGTGGAATTAATGAGAATGGAAATCTCATGATCCAATACCCAAGTTCCTCATTTGAGAGTTTCTGAATGAAAAAAAAAAAAGCTGGCAATATACAGTGGGTGAAATAATTATTTGATCCCCAGCTGATTTTGCAAGTTTGCCCACTGTTAGAAAACACTCTCTGTCTTGAGATTTGTTCTAGATGTTTTTACCCCTCCTTTTCTTTTTTCCTCTCTCTCACTCTCCCTCCCTGTACTGCTCTGTTGTTTTCTCTCTCAGTCCTCCTCCATCTGATTTGTTCTCTCTCTCTCTCTTGTATGATGTTTTAATATCTCTTACTCATATTCGAGGTACGCATGCGCACATCTATGCATTAGCTTTTCTTGGTTCAAATGCCCAAATAAGGACATGAATGCTAGGACTATAACGTGAAAGGGGTTCGTGATGAACTATGAAGCGAGTTCAGCATCCTTCGCCAAAGTCTATTCCTAATATGTCCATGTTTTTCTGTACATGTGGCCTATGTATTCATTGTTTATTTTAAACAAAAGCAGGCAACTGTTAGAAAACACTCTCCGTCTTGAGATTTGTTCTAGATGTTTTTACCCCTCCTTTTCTTTTTTCCTCTCTCTCACTCGCCCTCCCTGTATCAAGGCGGCAAAGAGATATCGAGGGACCAATTGTTATTTTTATTAACACCCACTTACAAAGAAATATTTTTTTATGGTAGGTTTATTTTAACAGAGAGGGAGAATAAAAAAAAAACAAGCACATTACATAAAAGGTTATAAATTGATTAGCATTTGATTGAGTGAAATAAGAATTTGCTCCCGAACAACCAGCAAGAATTCTGGCTCCCACAGATTGGTTATGTGCCCATGTGGAACACAGATTAGTCCTGTCACTTTAAGAAGTTACTCCTAATGTCAGCTTGTTAGGTGTATAAGACACCGGTCCACACAATCTGTATCTTCTACTCCAACCTCTCCCACGACCATGGGCAAGAACAAAGAGCTGTCGAAGATTGTAGATCTGCACAAGGCTGGAATGGGCTACAAGACCATCAGCAAGAGGCTTGGTGAGAGGGGGACAACTGCTGGTGCAATTATTCAGAAATGGAAGAAACACAAATTAACCATCAATCACCCACAGTCTGGAGCTCCATGCAAGATCTCACCTCATGGGGTAAGGATGAGGATGAGAGAGGTGAGGGATCAGCCCAGAGCTACACAGGAGGAGCTTGTTAATGAACTCAAGGCAGTTGGGCTAAAATAGCCCATACATACATACTGAATGCTGCATGAAAAAAATTTGCAAGGGAAAATAAATGAATAAATAAATCAACTCTTGGATTCCAAGTGATCAAGGGCTTAGGGCGTTCCCATTCAGCCCATTGCAAGGGTTCCGCAACATAAGCAATGACGTATATCAGAGTAAACAAGACGGAGGGAAGTTAGCGAGTGAAGGGCTTAAAAAAAAAGAACTGAAACACAGCCTTTTAGAGAGGATCTGTGAAAAGGAGTAAACCAAAAACCCTCCTGAGATGTGTGCACACCTGGTGACCAACTACAAGAAACGTCTTACCTCTGAGCTTGCCAACAAGGGTTTCTCCACCAAAGTACCAAATCATGTTTTGCTTGGCATTCAAATACTTATTTCACTCACTGAAATGCAAATCAATGTATAACCTTATTATAAGGTGTTTTATGGTTGATATTCCGTCTCTATCCGTTAAAATTAACCTACCATAAAAACGATAGACCCTTAATTTCTTTGTATGTGGGCAAACTTACAAAAACAGCAGGGGATCAAATAATTATTTTCCTGCACTGCATTAATGGAGCTGCAACAAATTATTATTTTGATAATTAATTAATCAAAAATTATTAGAATGATTAATTGACTAATCATCATTATTTCACTGATTAATCAGTAGGCTTTGATTGATTATTCAGCTTTTGTAATTCTTTAAAATATTGAGATATACATATTCTACACATTCATATACATGTTTTTTTATGTTTAATACTGTGAAGCTGCTTGCTTTAAAGCAGGGGTGCCCAAACTCGGTCCTGGAGGGCCGGTGTCCTGCACTTTAAAGGAATCTATTGCATATAGCAGGGGTGGCAAACGTCGGTCCTGGAGAGCCGCAGCCCTGCAGAGTTTTGCTTCAACCCTAATCAAACACACCTGAACAAGCTAATCAAGGTCTGAACGGTTACTAGGAAGCTACAGGCAGGTAAGTTTTCATTAGGATTTGAGCTGAACTCTGCAGGGCTGCGGCTCTCCAGGACTGGAGTTTGCCACCCCTGGCATATAGTGTTCACTAAAGAAAGGTGACATGAGTCACATGACTTTACTGGAGTGCAGTTATATCAAACTTATTTTTACCACTAACCGTATTAGTTGAAAAATAATAATAACTCAAGTCAACAATAAAAAAAAAGAAAATATATATATATATATTTTTTATTGTTGACTTGAGTTATTATATATATATTCTTTATGTTGAATAGTTATTTGATCTCATATGACCTAAAATAAGGACCTGCAATAACACAGTCTGAACAGTGTTGACTAATCGTTTCAGCCCTGTATATTAACATAAGAATAAAAAAAATTATATATATATATATATAATGTTTTATTATTTTCAGAAAAAAACGTTCATGTACAAATTTAATATAACTCTGATTTAAAAAAAAAAAAAAGGCTGGCAAACGCTGAAGTTACCTCCTATCGGTTTTTCGATGCTGCGTAGTGCAGTGGGGTACAACCATTCTGGTTGACAGCGTTCAACTGAGCTCCTTTGGATATTAAAGGGGTCATATGATGCTTTTTTAAAGATCATTATTTTGTGTATTTGGTGTAACAGAATATGCCGAGAGGAGTCCAACATGCCTGGAATGACATAAAAGAGTAAAGAACTCCACCAAGAGGTTATGCAGTGAATGACAACGTGTCAATAGTGCTACTATCTGGACATGTGACCACAAAAACCCTGATGTCATGTATGAACTGCACCTTTAAATGAATTAGAGATCAGTAATAACACCGAGAGGAAAGTTTCTTTTGAAATACAATAACATGAATTGATGCAGCGTAGGGCTTCTGGCCTGAAGCATGACACAATGCTAACTCACATCATCTTTGAGATCCACTTCAGCTCCAAGATCCAACAGAAACTGCACGATTTCCACACGTCCAGCTGAACAAGCCCAGTGCAGAGCAGTCCTGCATCAAACTTCTGAATCAATGCAGACTTCAGTATAGCATCATGCTGAAACTGTGTATGTGCACCTACACTGCCCACATACCTGATCTGTTCTCGTCGCTTGTGAGCTGTCAGACAACACGCATCTCTCCAGTTCTTCAAACTTCCCAGTATAAGCCCAATTACAGACTTCTACATTCGATACTCTCATACCTCTTATACCTCCATCTTTAGGGAACGCCAGTATTACGATTCAATCTAAATGGCCCCGCCCCAAACAGACAAGCTGCAATTTCATTGGATAAAACAACTTACTTTTAGAATGGAACCTGATTAAAAGAAATATACAATAACTAACAAACGTATCTTTGAAAGTTTGTGAACTTTACAATATATTTATTTGATTTGATATATACGTATGTATGTATATCTTGTATTTTTGTTTTGAAGTTTTATACTTCCCTCCCCCTGGCAATTTTGTTTGTTTGTTGTAATTCGTCCTTGTATCTTTTTCTTTTCTTATTTTAATGTTGTTTTATTGTGTGTTATTGTTCCTTGAATTAAAAAATAAAATAAAATAAAAATAAAAACTAACAAACCTATCTAAAATGGTCATAATAAAGCTGACTGAGCCATTCATTTGGCTAATTTGTAGGTTATATCATATCCGTATGATTTCATTTAAACCCAGTGTAGCCGCACATCCTTTATATTTAGAAACTTTATATTCTATAAATTCTTTATTTTTTTTAAAAAATGATTTTTTAAATATATATATATATATATATATATATATATATATACCCTCAAATTACTTGACATTTATCTTGGCTTTGTGTTACGTTTTGGTGTATAATACAAAGAATGAGTATAGAAAACATTTTCACAGGCGTATTACTGTTTTGAAAAAAAACCTACTATTTTGGCTTCAAAAATGATCGTAAGATAGATGTTCAAACATTTTTTATTAATTAATCGTATTATAATCTACAAATTGACATACGCATATGTAAACTTGCTAACAGAAAATATAACTCTATTGTTAAGCTGAGGAAAATCAGAACAGTGGACTGAATTAAAACAACAACAATACGATATCTAATATTTGTGCGTTTGAAGTATGTGTTTTAATTAGTTTTGTACTTTGCTTTGCCTTTTGTCATCTTTGTATTTGATTTCTTCCTGTAGTTGGGAACTTGATAACGGTGTAGGTTTCCGGCGGAACAATAATCGTGAACACACATCTCAGCACATTTTTCTCAATGTAGAATTATATAACGTTATATATAAGAGTAAGAGAGCATAATTCTGATATTGTTTTACACGCAATATCATCCTTTTCAATGTGGGCATAAACTACGATTACAGGTTATTTTCTTACATACTGTAATTTTACGCTGCGCAGCTTTTTTCATCTGGTGCGTAACCTTACCTATATTTGAAATCGCTCTGGTTATTTGATGTTTTAATAGTAGTTTGGCTATCAAACTGTCACAACGACTGCACATCACAAACAGTGACTTCATGGCTTCAACGGTGGTGAGTGTTCATTGATGCCAACATGCATCTAAATACTTCTGCAAATCTGTTCCATAACTGTGCTCATCAATTGTGTTCGGTACTGATCAGGACTTCAGGACTCTGGTTGATCAGTCATGCAGATACTCGGACGAATTCGTCAATATCTATTATGACTGTATGGACAAGAGAAGAAGGGTATGCTCAATGGTGATCTGTGATGCTCATTAACATATGCATTGAACGAGTTGATGATAATGACTCAGTGTTTTCAGAATTTGACGAGGCTGTATCTGGACAAAGCTACTCTAGTGTGGAATGGAAATGCAGTCACAGGTCATGATGCTCTCGGCGAGTTCTTCGAGTCTCTTCCTTCCAGTGAATTTCAAGTGCAATCTCTTGACTGCCAGCCTGTGCACGGTATGCAGCAACCTGCTCATCAGATTTTAATTAGTAATATATTTTCCTATTGTCTTATCAAATACCATTGTTCTTTTCAGAACAAGCAACTCAAGGCCAAATGACTTTGGTGGTGGTTACAGCTGGCTCAGTGAAATTTGATGGAAACAAGCAGAGATACTTCAACCAGAATTTCTTATTAACTGCTCAAGCCTCTCCTAACAGCGACCAGCCCGTATGGAAGATTGCAAGCGACTGCTTTCGCTTTCAAGACTGGGCAAACTGAATTGCAGCTTCAGATCTTTTGTATAGCTTTTTTTCATTTTTGTAAACTCGTTGCAATTTAATATGATCTGTAAATAAAACCCATTGACAATTAAACTGTTTCTACTATGGAGTACCACACAATTGGAGTAGAAAACGATTTTAATTGTCCTCGGCGAATATAACATGCAGTGAACCACAATAAATAAGCATCATAGAACATTCTACAAGCGAATTCACAATTTATCAATGCAAACATTTGACTGCTGTATAGTCTATCAGGGGTGCCCAAACTCAGTCCTGGGGGGCCGGAGGTGTCCTGCAGAGTTTAGCGCCAACTTGCCTCAACACACCTGCTGGTAAGTTTCTTGTATGCCTACAAGAGCTTGATTAGCTGGCTCAGGTGTGTTTGATTGGGGTTGGAGCTAAACTCTGCAGGACACCGGCCCTCCAGGACCCAGTTTGGGCACCCCTGGTCTAGCTTGAGGTGACTTGAACCCTGATGGTTGTGTGTGGGGAAAAAAAACAACTGATGAATTTGTTGGCTTAATGGCTATTCGTTTAACAATGGCTAAAAATCCCTGACAAAAAGAATAGTGCAACTGACAAAATAATTCTAAATAAAACACTTTCTAGAATGAGACATTCGGTAACCCAAGAGCTAACAAATTACAGTGCCTGTACAGATCACACTTCCTTTAAAAAAAGAAAAGAAAACAAATATATTAAACAAGGATTCAAATGAACCTCAAAATTCATATTCTTGGGTTTGTTCCTTTTCAGCTTTATACATTAAGTATTGAGGACTGGTTTAATGACATATTACCAAATATATTAAAAGCCTGCAGAAGTGGAATCTGCGACAGACAAGCGAGCTTGTGACAATCAAGACACTGTTAACAGTAAAATGATTGGTTTGAAAAAAATCTGACGTGAAAAGATGATACAGATGTAATACAAACTTTACCTCCGGCTTGAGAGGGAAAAACTATTCCTTAAAAATGTTTTCCCTTCATTTAAATTCAGTCTAACAAACAGGTCAAATGAGCAATAAACTACTTGCCAGTCATCTCAACCTGTCCTGAGTCAATCCATGAGCACTAGTAAATGCATCAATTAGTATTCAAAACATTACATACATTTTCATAACCAAAACAAAAAGAAATCTCAAGTACCGTATATATAAAAAAAAAAACATGGTTTGTAACCATTATGAAGACTCTAACTCTTAGTGCGCTGCATGAATGAAGCACAGGAATCAAATTCTAATTTGCAGCCAATAGGGAATCAACGTTTAAAATAGTGACCAATCAGAAGGCACAGAAACATCACTACACATTACTTGCGTCTACAAGGAGGCGGAGTTCCTCAGTTAGCGGTTTGTGGTTTCCAAATTCTATTAAACCAAACAAGTGAACATTTTTACAAACAATAGAATTTCACACGTTCGAAAAAAAAGAAAGCGCAAGGTGATGGCAGTATATCGCTGTTGTATGGATGAAATCCTTTTCACAAGAGACTAGTGAATGCTTTAATGCTGGATAAGATAAATATCGTCCTTTACTCAACAGGTCTAATTGTAAACTATGTCACAGCAGAGAGACTACAGAGCTCTGAATGAAAAGCTCAGGAATAAAAATACACAGACCAACGGCTTATCAACACTGTTCGTCTTTGAAAATGTGCATGCACCACTAACTGGTGACAGTTGTGGCAAAAGGTGTTTAACATTTATTGATATACAGCAATGTTGTACGGCAAGGAGCTGATGAAGACGTCTTTGGCTGTGATAGAGGTCCTACTTGTGGCCATACATTCTTTCGATGTCGTTGAGATAGTGGTTCTTCAGTTCTTTCCTCTTCAGTTTGAATGCGTCCGTCACCAGGCCCGTTTCAGGGGTCCAAGGCTCCGGGCTCAGATGGACCATAACTGGGATCTCAAAGCGCTGGAGTTTAACTACAATGATGGAAAGACCATTAGAAGACATGCTCTGGGTCCACTACATTTTATACAACTCCACTATTCAAAAGTTTTTAAAAGTCTCTTATGCGCACCAATGCTGCATGTATTTGATCAAAAATACAGTAAAACTGAAATATTACAATGTAAAAAGAACTGTTTTCTATTTGAATATATTATGTAACAATTCTGTAATGCACAGCTGAATTTTCAGCATCATTACTCCAGTCTACAGTGTCACATGATCCTTCAGAGATCATTCTAATATGCTGATTTGCTGCTAATGAAACATTTATTTTTAACAATGTTGAAAACGGTTGTGCTGCTTCATATTTTTATTATAAAAAAATATAGATTTTATTTCAGCTAATAATTCTAATTTTCATTTAGTTTAAATTAGTGTACTAAAATAACGAATACATGAATACAATTCAAAATGGAAAATGGAACTGCTTAATAAAACAGAAATAAATAATTAAAAATAAAAACTAATATAATATTAATAAAAACTAAAGTGATACTATAATCTTAATGATACTAAAAATAACACTGTTTGTAACATTATAAATGTCTTTACTGTTACTTTTGATCATTTTAATGGTCCTTACTGAATAAAAAATATATATATCTTTCTGAATTCAACTTTTATATGGTAGTGTATGCTGAAGTTACGTGAAGTCAGTGTCAAGTGTGCACAAAGTCTGATGGACTAAACAAACAACAAAAAAAAATGTTTTATATATATATATATATATACACAGTGGGGAAAAAAAGTATGGGGGTCTTAATACTTTCCGTACCCACTGTATGTATATATATATATATATATATATATATATATATATTATATCTGCAAGCTTTTTATTTGTATCATGGTCTCTAAATATATATTTTTTAATAATATAAAAATAAAATGGATAACAGAAATAATAATCTTGTACATGTTTTTCTTGCCAAAAATTCTAATTAAGCAGGCCTTCAGGGGTCTTGTCTTAATTAGAATTTCTTGTTACGGTGTCCACATTTTGTGTCCGCACTTTTACACCACATACCTCGCTGTAGGGGTGTGCGATATTGACAAAAAAATCATCTCTATTTTTTCTGGGATTTTATCACGATAATTCGACGATATTTTGCTGAGTGTGTTATTGTGCTGGTATCTTAAGGACTGCCATGGACAGCTGACTCCTAGAGTTTTTGATATTCTTCATATTCTGTGTGGTGGTCAGTTCACACTGATAGAAATGTATCTTTTCCAATAAGTTTAAACTGATTTTTACATTTTATGGGCATGTTTACCTTTATTAAGCACCATTTTTTTCTAAAAGTGTCCATTATCTTTTGAGTCAAATTCAACTAAATTCATCTTTGCAATGCAGAGGAAACACAGAAACTGCATCTGAAGTGGCATTTGATGTATTTACACACTGTTTAATGCAGGACATGAATGCATTTAACCTGCAATTACAAATGGACAAATAATGTTTTGATATAGTATTTATTTATTTATATATTAAACATAAAATATATTTATTTATATATTAAACATAAAACATTGAATACTGATATCTGAAATAATATAAATAATAAAAAGATACTTTAAATGTGAAATTAAAACCGCCAGCACGTGGCAGCAAGTCACTGTTAATAAGCGAGTCATTGCGATTGAACCGAATCATTTAAACGGTTGATTCATTCAGGAACGAAACTCCGTCATGTTGCTCAGGGACTCAAAACAGTGCTGTGGCTGTGTTTGGAATTCTTTTTTGTTGTCAAAATACCGCATAAACAGGAAATATGGTGTCTAAAATGTAAGTCTCTTACTTAACTTCTTGTTTATTGAACTGTTGTAATAAAAAAAAAAAATCAATCACATTTGTAATCGTTTAATCGTATAATCTTGTGAGATTTTGATTAACTATATGAAGTGGTATAAATATATACATTTTCTGCCCCTATGTCTTGAATTTGTGATCTTTTGTGATCATTCTAAACGTATGTTAATAGACTGAATCATGCAGTGAAAGAACGCACTCTAAATGCACACGCGCACTTAGTCTAGACTTCACGTAATATATGCGTGCGCTCTGTAGGGGTGTTTTGAATGTTTTTTGCAAAATACTCGATAATGTCAAAACGCACATTGTTAAAACAACAGATGATATATAATCGCACACCCCTACCTCGCTGCTATAAATACTGTTAGGTTATACTCACTTGAAGTTGCGACTTCTTTAATTTCTCTCAGAACTTCCCTTTCCATAACTGGGTGGTTGCAAATCTCTTCCCATGTGCCCTCAATGCCCTTCTGATTGGCAAGAGCTGTCAGGTTCTTTTGATTAGGAACAATGAAGCTGATAACGTAGTTCTGGTCACTGGTGGGCAGAGAGAGAGAAAAGAGGTCTGTATACAGTACGTCTGCTTTTCTAAAGAGAGGACCCTTTGCTAGGGTCAGTAACATCCCATATGTGTCAGACAAAGCCGAGCATACGAACCTGTTTGCGTAAGCGCAGATGTTGTCAATGAGAGAGCAGTTCTTCAGAGCTGACTCAACTTTGCCTAAAGAGACATACTCCCCAGCTTGAAGTTTCACAAGGTCCTTCTTGCGATCTAGTCATTACATACAATAGATGTGAATAATACAGATTGATAACAAATATATGATTTTAACTAAAACAAGAAGACATCATCATGATGCTGAATCTAAACATACCGACAATCTGAAGACAGCCGTCAGGGTGCATCTCTCCTATATCACCAGTGCAGAACCACCGCTGGCCGTTCTCATCCGCAAAGAAGTCCTCATTATTACAGCCTTCACTCCGGGAGTAGCCCATGGTCACATTAGGACCGCCGATGAGGATCTCACCACGTGGATGAGGGTTGTCATGCTTCGTATAGCCACCTGATGTATAAGAATCATGACAGCTGTAACTGTTTGAATTTTTTCAGGTTAAAGGGGTCATATGATGCGATTTCCAGTTTTCCTTTCTCTTTGCGAGTGTTACAAGCTGTTCGGGAATAGATAAGATCCCTAAAGTTGCGTCTCAAACCCAAAGAAATATTCTTTATAAAAGTTAACTCGTCCACACCTTCCTAAAACACCTCGTTTAAACACACCCACATGTCTACGTCACGATCTGGGAAGATTTGCATAACACCACCCAAATGTTCACGCAAAGAAAGAAGGTGTAACTTTGATTCTCGCTGTAGTTTTGTTGCCGCTGCCATATCGTGGAGACGCTGTGTGTTTCATTGTGAAAGCGAAACTACTTTGTTTGGCCTTCCAAAAGAGGACACAACTAGAAATCAGTGTTCCAGAACAGTTCAACCCAAATATTCAGATGTGTGCAATGCATTTTACGGAGGACGAGGACTGTTTCATGGAAGAGTAGCCTACAATGCCAGTGTTCCGGTGAATTCAGTTCCCCTGTTTCCCCTTCGGCGCGCATGCTGACCACAGTCTATGATGCTGACAAATAATGCTGACTCACAGCCTGTAAGTACGTTTTCATATTTAAAGGATTTGCCACTGATGATTCAAACGCGAGTTTTGAGCAGTGTAGAGTAGCGCTTGTTGTTTGTTGTTTCTCCGATCACAAATGCAGACATGGTTTTATGTTTATGCGGCGCGATGCAACGCAAAGTTCCGCCAAAAACAACATTTCTTACTCAACCTCATCTCGTTTCAAATGTGTATGTAGATATTTTTCTTCCATAGAAGACAAAAGCATTTTTAAAGTATTATTGTGCAGCACTTAACTTCATAGAAACATTCTTACCAGGAGTGTAATTTTTTTATTTTTTTTTATATACTATTATAGTGTTTATTAATATTTTAAATTAGCGGTTACTTGTATATTTTCATATATAATTTTTTTATTTGAGTAATTTTATGTGCTTTTTTCTTTTTATTATTATTATTTTAATATTCTATTTAGCTTTTGTTCAGTTTTAGTAATGTTATTACTTCAGCTTGAACATTTTGTTTCAGTTAGTGGCCAAGGCAACATTTCTAAATTTTCATTTAAAGGGGTCATATGATGCGATTTCAAGTTTTCCTTTCTCTTTGGAGTGTTACAAGTTGATTGTGCATAGATAAGATCCCTGAAGTTGCAAAGACTAAAGTCTCAAAACCAAAGAGATACTCTTTATCAAAGTTAAGACTCTGCCACGCCCCCCTAAAACGGCTCGTTCTAACACACCCCCACATATCTACCTCACTATGTGGAAATATTTGCGTAATGCCCAAATGTGCACGCAAAGAAAGAAGGTGTGGTTTCAGTAAGTAGTTAGTGTTGAAGCAGCATGTCAGGGAGACGCTGTGTGTTTCTAGGCGAAAGCAAAAGCACTTTATTTGGCCTTCCGAAAGTAGATGCATTTAGGAATCTTTAAGATTACTTACAACAGAACAGCAATGCATTTTATGGATGGAACAACATGAGGGTGAGTAATTAATGACAGAATTTTCATTTTTGTGTGAACTATCCCTAAGTTTTTTTATTTTTAATAAATTAGCAAAGATGTTAAAAATCTGTCTTTTGCTTTACCATTATGATATATGGAGTGCAGATTGATGTGGGAAAAAAAGTAATTTAAAGCAGTTTAACATAAGGCAGCAACATAAAACATGAAAAAAAATTTGCAAGGCACTGTTTGTGTGTGTGCGTGTATATATATATATACAGTGGGTACGGAAAGTATTCAGACCCCCTTAAATTTTTCACTCTTTGTTATATTGCAGCCAACATCTTAAATATATAATATATTTCTCCATTGTTTTTAATTTGATTATATAATTAGCAATGCTTTATGGGATTGTAGTTCTTTCTCATTAAAGTTGTAAATACACAGTCTTGTCTCTTTGTCTGTTTTTGAAACAGTTTTGCTTCAAATTATAGTATAAAAAGTGTATAATATTGTGTTTCACCTCATAGCTAGTTGGTTTGGTTTTGGCTTATAACACTAAGATATTTTTTAAATCTGTATGGTTAAAGAAAATAAATGGGAAATCTAAAATAAAATACTTTTGGAACCAAGTCTACTGTGGCACCCTATTGATATTTATACACACCCCAATCCAGGTATCCTCTCGCACTGGCCTGCCATGCCCCCGATCAGGTTACTGTGAATGATCATCACCCCTTTAGGTCTACCGGTGGAGCCGCTGGTGTACATAATAACAGCGAGGTCTGATGGGACGGGCTTCACTATGGGTCTGCTCACTGCAACACAAAGCGCACATTGTTTTCTCCTCTGGTGATAGACATGAATCTATTACAGTGCAAATCTCTATTCAGATCAATATTGTATGGGTGAACTGTGGGCAAACTACAGGCAATCACTGAAAAGGTTAGTTAGCATATAAATAAAATGTCAACCGTAAAGTTGGTGCCCTTTCTTACGGTTTTCTGGCTTGGCTCCCAGCTCTTGCACAGAGTGCATGCTGTGGATCTGGATGCCCTGTGGATATCCTGCTGTGCTGATGCTCTTCCTGTCCACATAGATGATCTGCCTCAGACTGGGGATTTGTGGAAGAACATTCTGTAGGGAAATAAAAATGGTTATGGAAACAGAATATTTAAAGAAAAATATAAACATTTCAAGCGGCAGGGCAAGTAAACCCAGGTGGCACCAGACGTCAAGTTAAACTTTGGTTTGAAAATCTGATTGGCATCAAAACCCAACATTATATGGACGTTTAATTTTGGTTACTTAATACGATGACTTAAAACCAACAAAATATCAACATCTAATGATGTTATATATTTAAGCTGCATGGAAGTTAACATTATGACATTTAGCAGGCATTGGTTTTTGGTTACCATCCTGGCTAAATGTCTGTGTTTGGTGTCAATATGTTGAATTTTGGTTACTTAAAGGTGCCATAGAATGCATTGATACAATATTTTAAATTGTTCTCTGATATCTACATAGAAGCTATGTGGCTTAGGTAAGGGCAAAAAAATCTCCAGAAACGGTTTTACATGTCCATTTACAACCCTAAGATTTGTCCCTAGAATGAAATGGACTGTTTTTACCTTATTTGGAAGGGTCATGAATAATAATGTTGAGCTCTGCTCTGATTGGCTGTTTCACAGTGCAGCTCATTTCATTAGCTCACACAGCATGAAGGAAACAGGGAAAATATATATTTCAATACTCTCTCTCACAGTTATATCGTTGGGTAATTCTACTGTATATAAAATGCGGGCATCAGGGAGCCGCTATTAATATATTCGAATGCACGATTGCGTTTTACTTTCACTTTCAAGATTTGCGATCGCACGTGATCGGTGTAAACTACAGCGGCAGTACTTACCACACATTTCACAAGATCAGGTGCTTGTCAGTGGTGCTCAGGATCTGTAAATCATTCGCCATCATCCTCAGTCATCTCTCCTTACTCTGTTTATGTGGTAAGTTAAATCTTATGTACCGTAATGTAACAGGCTACCGCTAGCAAGCAGCTAATCATGTACCTTTAGTGGCTCGCGTTATTTTATTAGAACGCGCGTTATTTGTTTTCCATGCCTTTCTGAATACAGACACCAACCCATCCCTGCACTTCACATGCCCTGCACAGCCTGGAACATAACATTTATTTCCATGATCTGCCATTTTCGCTATTATCCTCGCTTGTTTCTTCACAATACCTGCAGAACTTCTGATGATTCGGCTGTGCAGGTTCGGCTGGCGGCTGGCATAGAACATGGGCGGGTATATGCAAATGTTGGGGGCGTAACTATTAGTGATCCCGACTGTAACGTCACAGTTGGTGTTATGTTCTGATTCGCCTATTTTTCAGTGGTCTTTTGCATGCAGGAGATTTACATAAGAAGGAGGAAACAATGGTGTTTGAGGCTCACGGTATGTCATTTCCATGTACAGAACTGTTATTATTAAACCATGCCAAGGTAAATACAGTTTTCCATTCTATGGCACCTTTAATACTATGCCTTAAAACCAACAAAATATCAACATCAGCTTTCGTCACTATTCTCGTCAAGTTGACATTGGCAATAGAACAGGTCATGACATTGAATTTTGGTCACTTGACACAAGGGCATGTATTTAACCAAATATCAATGTCTTATGATATTGGTGGCCCACTGGAAAAATTTTAACTACAGTACAGGGCCTGACTTGCTGTTACTGTAAAACACTTTTCTTATAGAAGTTATTCACTGAGACAAACATGACTGAATATAAAGAAATTGCGATTCAGTGAGTCAGATGTTAATTTGGTAACTGTTCAAACTGATTCAATGAGTTCATTCAGTGACTTGGAATTTGTTTGTTAGTTATATGGACTACACTGGTTTTATGAGTTCAGTTACCAAAGAGAAAGGAACTGAAATACGTGCTAAGTTGGCACTGATTCATGGTACCCTGTTATTTTAACCCATTCAATTCAAATCAGCTCTAGTAATATATTGTTTTGCTGTGAATCTGTAGTGATAGTAGTACAGGAAACACTGAAACGGTTACGTCGCTGTCTTTAGCTCACCTTCAGTTTGGTTTCCAGCAGTTCCACGCTGGTGACCAGGTGTGTAGCTCCACACTCATTCAATCCGAAAGCCACTGCCTCTTCTCCTAGAGTTGCATAAAAGGTGACCACTACAAAAACCACATGAAACACAGATTAACAAGAGAAGATCAAGACAAACACAATACATTCACAGTACATCTATGCGTCATCACATTAAAGCATGAAGGGATAAAACCTATGACTCACTTGAAATCATTTTTCCTTAGGGAAAAAAAGAGAAAGTGAGAGTAAAAATAATGTTTCCTTACATGGGAAATTGCGTCTGAAGCAGGCCTGAGCCGTGATCATCCACTCTGCCCGTGTTTCACAGAAAATCGCAATGGTGCTTTTTGGCTGTTGGCCTAGTGCTGCCAGTCCGCTCCCAAACTGACTGACCTGAGTGTCCATCTCCTCATAGGACAACCATTTATAATCGCCCAGAATTAACTGCCAAGACAAAGCCATAAAACACCTTTATATTAAAATATATATATATATATATATATTTGTTTTTCCTCTCTCAACAAATGGTAATTTTGGCAGTGTTCACATTGCATTTGAATGTGACGCAAATGTTGGATGACAGTGTGAACAGCAAAATGAATACTGAATGTGACATTTTCAATTCATCTATTTTTGCAATCCCCAATTATATATGTGGAATTCAGATATGTCAGATGTTTTACGATGTGACTTCACCTTCGGGTAGGAATTTGTGTGATTTGTATGTCAATTTAACCCGATTTCTAGAATTGATTTACTCTTGTTGTGAACCATAAATACAAGCTATGTTAAAGCTGCAGTCCGTAACTTTTTTTTGGTTAAAAATGATCCAAAATCAATATTTGAGCAAGTACATAACCAGCCAGTGTTCAAAACTATCGCCTTACTTTAGCCAGATTCACAACGGTTATCTTATAATAATGTTTTCTCATTTAAATGGTACGGATAGGTTTTCGCAGGAAATTAGATCATGGCACTGCGTCATTACGACACATCTGTAAACATAAAGAAGTTGTCCTGGCTACCAGGCTATCACATGTGAGGATGCTGCATCATTTATAGCCTTTTCTAACAGCAGCTGGAATAATTAAATGTCAAAAAATCATTTTGATGGCGGATTGTAATCCAGAAAGGATTATATGAAACCCATGTGTTCCAGTTTTAAATGTGCTTCTGATTACAGATAGCCTGGGATTACACAAGATTTGTATTTGAAAGAAAACCAGTTCGAAGAACCAGTTGCTTTTTGGGTTAAAATAATTTCTTGGTATGAAATTCTAATGGTATGACAATTAGAGATTAGACTGTACAGAAATTGAAATCTACACACACACTATACTTGTAGTCATGCAATGCTGATGTTGTTGACATTAATAATCTGAGAATAAAGTTTAACAATAATAATAATTTGCACGGTTTGATGCGATATGAGCTAATCGATCGTTGGATTAAATCACCATATAACGTGATTTATTGTAATGCTTTTTTCCTCAGTTGGTCAGAACAAACGTGGCAGACTTGTTACTAACTTGTTCAGATGACAAGGTACGGTGAAAATTCTTATTTGGGTCATATATTCCAAGACGTAGGCTAGAATCTGTCATTAAGTATAGGATTCACACCGGTGTGGTGACTGACTGCCACACATACTCCTCAAAACATTAGATTAATCTGCGCTGGAGCCGTGCCAGAGTACAACCCACGCAAGCTAGATAATTCCGCACACAGCTGCAATTCCAGGTTTTAAAACAGAGATGGCGACAAAGAGGCAAAACTTACGGACTGCAGCTTTAAAATGTAAATTAGTTTTTAATATTAAAATGTAATTTTAAATTTCACAATAATAAACTGTGATATATAAATATTTATATACTAACGTTTATAATTGTACGAATATCTATAAATATAATGTTTACATATAAAGGAAAATTCACTACATTTTAAACGTTTTGCGGTCAGTAAAATTAATTTAGAAAGAAATGACTATATTCAGCATGCATTAAATTTATCAAACATCACAGTAAAGAGTTTCACATTAATTTTTACATTATTCCAAAATCATTCCATTTCAAATAAGTTTTAAAAAAAGTTTCTTAAGCAGCAAATCAGCATATTAGAATGATTTCTGAAGGATCATGTGACACTGAAGACTGGAGTAATGATGCTAAAAAAAATTCAGCTTTGAATCACAGGAATAAAATTTATTTTAAAATATATGAAATAGAAAATAGTTTTCACTATTTTACTGTATTTTTTATTAAAGAAATGCTGCTTTGGTGAGCATAAGAGACTTCTTTTAAGAAGAAAAAAATCTTACAACCCCAAACAGTAGTGTACATGTTTAAATAAAATTTGTTTAAGATGCTATTATTATCATAATTTATGCACACAGGCCAGTTTAGGAGAGTCGCTTGTTTAGACCAGCATCTGATATGAGCTAAATTAAAAAGGTCATGTGAACAACCTCACTAAATAAATTGGATTAGAGCAGAAAATTACAATTAGGCACTTTGGCTTGCATTGTGAGCATAGCCGTACAGAATATGTCAGAGGAGGATGTACCTTTTTAAAGACCTTCCCACTCGGCTGAGTCTCATTTTCTTTGCTCAGAACTTCTCTGGTTCCCAGGCAGTCCGCTTTACCGAAACGCTCCACCGCATAGTCAAACAGCTTATCAAGTGTGTCTTTTCCAGCATAGTCCTCCGTGACCAGGGAGTCGAAGCGATCCACGGAACGATACGGCCCTTCAGCCTGACCGGTGGTTGACCTGGATTTGACTCTCTTTGCCAGGGATTTCTTTTTCTGAACTCCAGTCATGAAGTACCATGGTAGAAAGCTCAAGAGGGAGTAGAGCCATACTACTGCATGTACTGGGAACAAGAGAATGGTACTCGGGTCCATGTTCAGACGCACATCTGCTGAGAAGCTGAAGGGGACTGAAAGATGAAGGGATCAGGCCAAGCCTGAGATAAAGCGAGTTTGTTGCCCTGTGTCCAACTAAGGATCCCAGATCAAAGTTCAGAAAGATTAGGGAAGTGTCCGATGTGTAGCTCTAAAATGTGCAATCTGATGAGAATGACAGTAAGAAATAAAGGAAATATATGTTATTCAAGTGTACTCAACTGAAACACAGCCCTACGAGACATTTCTATGAGAAAATAGAGTTTGAGGCTTCAAGCGGAACAGTTTGTATTCATTCAGCTGCTTTAATGAGACAAGCGAGGCTTATTAGAGGATGCGGTTACATTCGCCACACAAAAGACACATTCCTGGCCAGTGAATAGCGTCTCTCTGTTTCTCATTTAATGACTAGTATGAAGTCACAAAAATCCTGCAGAAGCTGCCCAAGCCTAAAGACAAGGTGGACTGACGAACGTCATGACATTAAAGCACAAGGTTACCAGACATCTATTAATGTTTGTACAGATGAAACCTGATACACTTGTTTTATCTAGTGTTCCAGTTGCTGGTACAGTGCGGCAGAAATGCCAGGGCCATGGGTTAGATTTCAAGGACAAACCCAAAATAATTAAAACAAATCTGTTTCATTGAGTTGAGCAGAAACACTTTATCGCCGTCATTAGCCACGTAAGTGAACTCTGGCTTAAGATAACTTCATCTCAGAAGTCAGGAAGATAAGCTCATCCCTTGATCACATGACTGGTGTCAGATTAAGGAAGTATATGGAACATATATGGAACAGAAACCTTAACACTACTGTTACTTACAACCTGTACACAAAGACCTAGAAAATTTACATAGGTTTGCATCATCCTGTTACAGTGTTGCCAAGCTGGGAATTGTCTATGAAATTAGATCCCTCAAAGCACAAGTCCTTACTGACGGTGAAGCCAAGTGTGACCAGCTGCAGGGGCCTGTTGCATAAGTATGAGCTAATGGCAAAAGGTTAATGTGAGGCATACTCCACTGACTCAGCAAGACATTCAATAACAGCAGATAACCAAAGCTCTCTTACTAGGGCAGTTAGTAAGCGCTTTCGTGTTTGTTTAGACTGACAACATTTTGGTTCAGAGATCAAGTTGTGATCAGTCCTGGTGAAATGGCGTGTGATGTTGACACAATCCACAGCCTGATATACAGTTCACTGCTTGGGCAAAACAAATATCTGCTATTCTAATATAAGAAAGACCACCTACTGGTCAACCAGTATGCATTTTTTATTTTATTTTTTGTGGCCAGTCCTGATAAATGATAAGTGGTCGATATTTCAATTCTGAACTTTTTGTCTAAATAAAAATACTAACAACAACAATTTTTTTAAATGTTAGAAGTTAATGTAGACATCACAGTTATACTGTTTCAAGGAGAAGCATATGGTCTATTAATTTTGCAATTTGCTAAATGTTACATTTAAAAATGTTATTAAATTATAAGTAAGAAAGACCACCAACTTTACTGGGCAATGCTGATAACAATATAATGTATATTAGGAATGCACCAATATTAACAATCTGGCAGATAACGATAAGCCATATTTATTTTTATGTTATGGCAAATAACCAATAAGCTATTGATATTCAAACTCAGAACTTTTTTTTGTCTTAACTAAATCAACTAAAGTTTAAATACTATAAATGAATTTAGACATCATTCACTATTATAAAATATATATATATATATATATATATATATATATATATGGATATTCATTGGCTAAAGATTTACATTTAACAGTGTTATTAAAATAAATACCATTGCTATAATTTAACGTTCACCAAAATGTAAAACCAGGGAAAAAAACAAAAAAAAGTTAACTACAATTAAATATCCGATAAATGAAAAAATGAAAATTTGATGTTTATCTGCGTACCCCCAGGGCATCCAAGATGTAGGTGATTTTGTTTCTTCAGTAGAACACAAATTATGATTTTTAACTCCAACTGTTGCAGTCTATCTTTAATGCATGGCAATG